TAGACGTCGCCATTAAAGCCATGGTAACCGCCGCGTGGAAACGAGGAATAGAAACGTATGATCTAAAGTTTAGATTCTAAACGAACCTACTTAATTGGACATAGCCAGACCTTTGGTCAAAGATATCGAGGATTAACGTGGCGATGGACTACCTTCTAGCGATGTTGCCTGCGGCTCGAATCTGTTCTTTATGAACTTTCAGTATGTTTCATTGAAAAATCCTAGGCCTCTAGAAGTTAGAGATCTGGCTATGTTCACTTCAATCAAGGTCAAACTTCTTTGAGTTCAAGGTCTCGATGTTCAACTTTGAATAATTTCCAGGGTAACCAAGGATCCTGAAGTCCACGTGTACAACTCGACATCCTACCAGATCCGTCGCATCCTCAACAGGGAGCTGGTCGCGATGGGCCACAGGATCAACAGGAATACGCCACTAGAGGGCATCATCTGGTTCCCGCGGACCTACATCACAACCAGCACTTTCATTTATTACATCCTAACGTGGATCGTTCACCTAATACCGGCCATATTTATCGACGGACTCCTGAAGTTGAGCGGGCGAAAACCAATGTAAACAAACGTCTCCTCTTCGTGTGTATTATTATTGTGAACACCGTATGGCTTGTAGGCTCATCAGCATTCAAAGGAAGGTCTACAACACCATCGTTCAGCTGCAGCACTTCCTGCACAACGAGTGGATCTTCCGCAACCCCAAGATGCTGCAGATCCTGACCAAAGACGTTCCTCCAGCGGAGAGACCGATCTTCGGATACGACTATGAGAACTTCGACGTAGAGCGATACTTCCAGTGAGTAGAATCTCGTGGACTTGCGACTAGTATGGTTATCTCGACTCGCCATGCGAATAAACATTTTTTCAACCAGGAACTGTCTGATCGGGGCGAAAAAGTACCTCCTGCACGAAGACATATCGCAAATGGATGATGTCAAGCGGCATTACAAAAGGTAAAGTGACATTCATATGTACGCTTGGCTGTTTTCACTATACTAGAAGGATGGGTGCGTTTTGACTTTCAAATTGGTGAGCTTCGACCCTAACCCTCCGAGGTCACACGTTCTGGAAATAACGCGTCGGTCACAGGGAGTCCCAGTCACCCCAGCCATGTTTAAACGATTGCCGCGTTGTCAGTATCGTTCCGAACGATTCGTAAAAATTCAGGATATTAGTTTGAGCCTTTCAGAATAAAAATATCATGGCAAAAAATTTTTATCAAATTTTCAAAATGGCAAAAAAAATCAGCAAGGAGGCAATGCATGTATAAAAACAAACTTTTTTTACTAAAAAAAATCACAACTCTGACAATTTTTTAATGTATTTTCATAAAATTAATAACTTGTAGTAATTCTAGTTTAAAGTTGCGCATTTTGACCCCAGGTGAGCGCGAAGGGCTAAGAAACCTACGCCCCATCGATTAGATTAGAAGATCGTCCATTACAAAATCCTCTATTCAAAAAGCCTCTTGGCTCAAACCGTTGACTTCGAACTGAAAGTTCGCGATGCATTAGTATACATCACACGCATGTAATGTCTAATGAATCTCTTTCCAATAACTCATGCAAATGATTACTCGAGAAATCGATACAAGATGAACCTGTGTTAATTCTCATTGAGGAAAACGATTCAGATTACATTATCACCAATTACCCTTGACCATGCATTTACACTGAATCGTTATTGGTGACTAATTCGAGGAATTATAATAGACGAGGCAATTAGTAACAAGAAAAGTTTCGAGTCACCGTGCATTGCATACAGGGTGTGTTGAAAATTAGTGCATGATAAATGTGGGAAAATTCAACAATTTTCGAGGTAAAACGATGAAATTGTCATCACAGGTGTTCAAGTGTCTTCCGCCTACTTTAATGCATAGCTCGACACGTTTCCTCGTTGAAGTTGGCACGTTCGCGAGAATGCCAGGTTTTTCCCGTAGGCTGGGGGGAGCAACTTGAGGCGCCTGTTTTGTAATGCATCTCTTGTAGTTGGTAAAATAAATAAATGTATTTGCCGAGCATTATATGTACACAAATGACCATCAGTTTTAGTCCACTCTGTATAAGCCTTTAGTGGAACTAGTTATGCAAGTTCGGGTCTTAATTAAGATCATCTGGAGAACAAAAATGGTTATTCCCTGGTACCAAGGTCAATCGGACCAAATGTTTACGCTCACTCGTGAGAACTCTCATCAAAATCAGTACACATCCCTCTGTATCGACCATGGCGATATATAACAAGTCATATTCTATCGTTTGCAAGTCTGAACGCATCTACTGCTTCTATGCTAACAAGGACACTATCGTTAAAGTCGAGTTTATAGCTGCAAATAACGATAACGAATGAAAAGTGTTTGTTTTACTTGGAATGCAGGATCGTAGCTACCAGGGAACAATTCACTCTTACCTCGAAGCACATATTCTGCGCGCAGTTCGTTTGATCGATCGCGTGTCGCGTCCCTCCTCCTCCGCCTCCTCACCACCGAACATACGTGTTTGCCCTTGATTCTGTCCTCCCTCCTTCCGCCATTCTTCCTTTCTTTCCAATCGGTATTTACGAATCGTTCGCGACAACTTAAGCGCTCGACTACTCGATGGTAAGTCAATTCCAGTCTTTGTTTGGGAATGGTGGAGGTGGACGCAGCAGGGCTGTACGAAAACTGGGATCTTCTACGTGCACAGGGGCCCCGGAAATGGAATATAGAGTAGAAATAAGAAGGGTTTGATTGGGAGATTGGTATAATCTCAAAGATTGTAGCGCAGAATTTTGTAATATAGCGTGGATCTCAGACTTTCTTAAGCTAGGGGTCGCGAGCTCTTACAGGGGTGCATTAAAATTCTTCAGGGTTTCATACATTAATAATATTAAGCTTAAGAAAATCCTTAATGAAATCATCTTTTAAATATTTATGATCATCTACTTTTTTGTGAGTGGAAATTCCACCTTCCATTGTGATAGCCAGTCGAGACCCTAGTATTAGTGTGCTCAGAAGTTTATAAACTTTAGATTCGACCCTAGCTGGAAGCGACGCGGTAGTCGTTGGCGTGACGCTTGGTCGCGAGCGGGAAACCCCGTTCCCTGTATACATAATAACCGAAAAGCCGCGAGCAACCATGTCTCTCCCACTTGTTCGATATTTTTAGTCGCACGCCGCAATAATTATAGCATTTGCATTCGCCGACGCTGATTCTCGGAAGGACAGCGCATTCGATTTTGCATTCTCGTCGCTTCGCTAAACGCTCTCGACACGAGCAACTATCGTGGTTAACGTTGTTGCTGATTGTTGCAGGATGGAGTGGCTCGACAGGATATACAACGTCGTCATCATGGGGGTGCTCGCGTGGATCCTTGCAAAGGCTGGATTCTTTGCGTACATTTTTAGGCAGTTTCAAATTCTTCGCAGCTACTAATCGTTCCTGAGGACCTCGATCTTCGAACATTTAAATAAAATAAGGGTGAACAGTGTCGTTTGCTGAACGAATAAAACTGATGAAGATACTTTTTTATTCCTCTATCCGCAGCCCTTCCTCGATAAAGTAGATCGAAGGTGCAAGAACTGATTTTTCAAGGAGCAGTAGAAAACAATTTCTCCTGTTTGGAGTTCAGAGAGTTAAATGCTTGGTATGTATTTATACCAATCATCTATTTCAGGAACAGTTGGATTAAGGTTACCACTTTTCTTTTTCTCCTCTGTCTCGTAGCAAATGTAACGTATTTCCCACATCCATTTTCATATATCTTTGAGAAAATTGAAAACATCCACGCCTCGAAATAGAATTTTAGCTCGCCCTTCGAGAAACTGTGGCATTTCCACCATTCCCACTCAACTTTGAATGGTGTATCGTACAAACAATTAGTCAAGATACAGCACCAATGGCGTGAAATTCTTAATACGTGTCTTATCGGGTTGCATTACTTCTCCTTTGACACGTTAAACAAGGAACGATATCAGCACTTCTTGGAGTTTATACATTCCCCTGGCTGCTAGATAATCTTCTATCGCCAGCGAGATGCAGTATAAAGTATTATCAGCGAAATAGAGCACAGGCTCGCGATGCTTTGATCGTAACGAGATATTGACTCAATACCTCGATTGTCATGTTCGCCTGATTAAGATCCACTCGAATGTGTCATCCGCAAGATTTTCTAAAAACTGAAGTCATTCGTACCTCCTTTTATTATCTCCTTACAATTACAGAATACAGTGGTCTAGTTGCTGGAGTCACCCTGTATATCAGCACTAACGAGAAAATTTACAACAAATGCAAGGTGAATGAACTTGTCAGGCAAATGGACCGAACAACCGCACCGTAGGCGTGAATGGAAACTGTCTACAACGGTGCAACAGAAGATGGTTATGCTTGGCTATTGGCTGCGAGAGACGAGTGATGAGTTCTCGGAATGCACGTGGCATTTTGGACGCGTGAGATGAGTATACGGCGTATGCGTGAGAGCATAAGAGTGCAGTGCTTCAGGCGAAGAATGACTGGAACTTGCCAAGATTCGGGGACCACTTTCCAACGTGCTCCTCCCAAAGACCAAATCCAGGAAACCCTTGGGAATATCCCAAGTTCTCAAGTATACCTTCAACCCCCTTCACCTCCAATCGTAAGCGTTGTCGTGCGATCTTCTTAACCCTTTAGACTAAAGGGTTAACAACAAATGCCATGCACAAACAACGACAGAGGGTCCAGTCTCCTTCTACAAAAAATAACAAATTCCTGCTGAAACCACTATATAATCGCACAATTTCGACAGAGTTTTCGGCGTCACCCGATTCACCTCTGCGTCTTCGTAACGACGCCCCTGATACGATCCTCCTGGCCACCGTTGCTCCCATCCTCGACCTCGTTTGCGTTCGGTTACCGACTGTGACACGCGACCACAACTCCTCGCCCGTATCATCGTCGCGCGTCGAGATATACTCGCAATTAGTCTTGAGAACACTGGAGACGAGAGGCTGGAGCAGCGGCGACTGGTGGCGCTAGGAGAGCGACGAGGAGGGTTAGGGGGTTACGAGAGCGTGAAGAGGATCAAATTTTCCGACCAACAAGGGGGCATGTAAGAACCCAAAGTATGTTTTTTCCACGTCGCGGAACATAAATAGGTAAAGTAGCCAACACGGTCGGATTAGTGTATAGTAATAGAAAAAAAATGAGTGCACGCAGCTCCTTCTCTCAACAACGTCTACGCAGTTGCATTAAGAAACTATAGTGGAAGAAAATACGAATCGAGGAGAAAAGTAGCTCCAATGATCTCTGGTCAGCCTGAGATGCCCCTTAATTCCTACGACCTGTCCCACCAAGTCTTGGAATTTTTATGCGCTCCAAGTTTGTGTATGATTTTTTGTTTTGTATAAACGAGGTTCTACTATACTCTCCCGATTATTTCTTGCTATCTCCATTGACAGAGGCTCTTGCGACTCCTCCACTCTATCTACACAATCTCTTCAAGTGCATCGAGGATCGGATACCTCTATTTTAAAGCATTTCTAGTTGACATCAACTGTTTACGGTGTTCCTTAGACAGAGTGCATCCAGCACGCGTCGCATCCATATGCAAATGGTGGACCTCGTTGAGTACGTCATCGGTGACTGCGCATGCGCGACCGCTATCGTCGAGCTAACTGGAATCGTAATCGTCCCAGCGGGTCGAGCGAGCGACTGGTCGAGCGTGGCGCGATTTCTCGCCCGATCGATGGGTAAAGCGGTTTCGAGACGAAGGATCGCGTTCGTGGCGCGCAACCAACGTCGTTTTTCACCGGAAATTGGACGAAGAAGTGACTCCACGCTACTATCTTGAGGCAGGTGCGTACCCTCCTATTTCTACTTGGATGAATCAGCTTGCGAAATCGACGGGAACCGACCCGCCAACCGAAATACGTCTCACGGTGTCGCGACCGACTGCGTCGCATCGGTTTACGTGTACGCATCAGGATGGCGAGCGTAGATTGACGCGTGTGTGCGTGCGCGATCAGCGAGTGTGCGCCAATTACCCGTCGCTGCCCTCCACGCCAGTCGCACGCGAATTTCAAGTAGAGCTTCGTCGAATCATCGCGCTCCCGCTTCTTCTAAGCCTTTTTCGGTGGTCTTTCGTACTCCATGGCACAGGATTACGCTGCGTAGGTACTTTTGTATCTGACAACAAGGTGGGCAAACAGAATCGTGGAAACTGTTCGGGTATGCTCGTCAGGTTTCGATGAAAACAGTATGAATATTTACGGAGATAGGCTCTTATCGGCTCACCCTCCTAATTGCGCGCGTATTCCAAGTGGGGCACGTTAAGTCGAATCGACGCGGTGTCCCTTTTCTTTTGTAGACCTCCGTATATCACGACATGGGTCAGTTACGCTACGTACTTTCATATCTGGCGAGTATAATAGGAAAGTGGAATGTTTAGTTGGCTCGTTTCGGTGAATGTAGAAAGTTCCAGGGATATAGTATCTAAACATTCGGTGGAGCATGGTTTAGACGGAATGAAACCTGACCATATGTCCCAATTCTATAGTGAACGGTGTTGCCTTGAATTAATGTAAAACCTCGTTTAGACGAAGAAAAGTAGGCTAGCGAGGGCACGTGTACCCGAATCTTCCATGTGCTCTCAGTTGCCTTGACTCTCCAGTCTACGCGCGACTCGACGCTCCACCTACTGGAAACCTACAACTCTCCCGATTCCAAAGCATACTAATTTTACTCTCAGTTCTCAACGCACGATCCAGCCTTCACAACAAACAAGGCATTTAACGCATTCGCAGTCGCTGACGTACTTTTACGTCTTTCACTTTCACAATCTAGAGGCTGTTGACGCCAGTGTGTTGTTACGTCTTTTCGTATACGGAAGCTGGAAGCTCCGAATCGTGAAAGCTGCCGGTTGCGGGTGCGATATCATAATCTACGCTACAGTGTAATCTACAGTCCTTCGTCTAAGTGTCATTAAAAAATTACAGAATATTATCTGTGCACGGTCTCGCGATCAGCGCCGGGAATTCCGTACCTAAATAGGCCGGTGTTGACACGATCGCCGTGGATCGTGTTCTCTGATGACACGCGACAGCTGTTTCGCTGTCCCACTCGACAGTCCGTCTTCTGTAGTCGTCGCCTTCGGTGTCCGCCTGGGAAGTTGGTGACGAACGCTGTACCCACGCAACCGGTTAGAGATGAGACGAATGATAGCGCCGTGAGTACGATCCTACGCCTCGGTTGTCTCGTTCCAATCGCTGCTCCATGTGACGTAGAGAACGGGTTAGGTTCCATCGAAACGATTATGTTGCTCGTACAGTAGGATTCCGCGAACGGCGAGATCGATTCCGCGAATATTCGCGATTGCATTATCGCGAAGCGTTGGGAGTATATACCACGGCTGTAAGCGCCCGTGTACGCGATAAGAGGAGGACGATACGCGGCGTGGATCGCAACATTTCGCGACCCCGCACTTTTGATTTTGCATGTTTGTTATGCGCGCGTTATACAATCTCTCGTATCGCTTCTGAGCGTCCTTCGGTTTTACGATATTTTGCTACCGGCGGTATCTCGACGACGCGAGGTTTTTTTTCGTACGAGCGGGATACAACTTTAAACACGCCAATGCGACGCGAAACTCGTTCGCTGGGAATGTCCCACGACAATTGTCGACCACAATTTATCAACCACATATTGACTCATCGACACCGCTAGGCCATGGTCGGTAGAGTGGATGTTGTGGTCGTACGCGGCATGTATCAACTATGAATAACGCTCCTCTAGAAGCTTCAGTCGAATAAAGTTTTATTTACGTAAAATATTGCGTCACGAATTAAATTTCGTGTCGATGGACGTTCATTCGTGACTTGCAAATAAAGTCTTATTCATTATTCAAGACTCCCCCGTTTACAGTACTGGTTACGTACTTGCACTTCTCAAATGAGAAACAGAGCGTAAAGTACTGGAACATGAAGATCAAGTGGAATTGATTATTCGTTATTCGCCACTGGTTATTCGAGTCTCTCTTGTTCACAGTCCTGGTTTCGTATTCGCATTTCTCAAACGAGAAGTGAAGCGTAAAGAACGAGAACAAAAAAGTCAAGTCTAATTGAAGCTTCTCCAAAGTTCCAAACCTTACAAGTTTTAATTCTTGGCTTATTCACTTATGTCACAGGTGACTGAATTCCTCAAGAGCGATATAAACACAGTGTCGACAGGTGTCGATGGTGTACGCCGACGTGCCTTCGACTAAGACCCACCAAGAGGAAGATACATCGAAAATGGCGACAGCCAGCGCGATGTCTCTCCCTCGTCTGGAGAAGAAAACCATGCCAGCTTACGATGATTCGATCGTCCTTCGCCTTTCGAACGATTTCGAAGGCATAATCGAGCAAATCGAGAACCTCCGGCTCGCACGTGATCGCGAAACTGGTAAGCGTTGCGAGTCCATGGTCGAGCGAACGAGACGCGAATCGACCGAACTTGAACGAACCAGCGACTGTGGGGCAAATTTCAGTGGGCCCTTGGTCTCTAGTTCAACCTCGGACGACGATAGCGGTGCCGACGACAGCGACGATCACTCCGAGGGTCTCGTCGAGCGTGGGCCAATTAAATCGCAGTATATCTCGACGCCTCGCGATCAACCTTACTGGACCAATGGCGGTTTCGATCGGTCCCTGAAACTGAAAGAGACTTCCATTCTCGATTACGACGTAACTGCTGAGCAGCTACTCCAGGACAAAGACTACAGCGAGAAATTGAACGCGTGTCTCGATCAGCTCCAAGACGCTTCGAGGACGGTTTGGAACTCTCTGAACGACAGCAAGAACCGAAACGCCTCAGAGCCATGCAGCTCGAACACGGAGGTAAGTCGTCTGCTGGTTTCTTGAGGGGATTTGCTACTTTGTTTACATCCTTGCAGAGTCAGAGGCCATCAGTCAGCATCACGTGGAGGCGGATGCTTCTCATGCGCCACCTTTTAGGTCACCAGCGTTATCTCGGTTTATTTAGACTCAAAGTTTATCTCCCACGCTCGCTATTGCATTTTTTTTTCGTGTTTTCTTTGTGACATGTTTAGAATTCATCCGTGGCTTAGGTCAATCCGAAGGAAATTCTAACAGAGTGTACTTGTTTCAGGATTTAAATGTAGAATGTTGCAATCTTGATATGCACCTTCGACAACAAATAAGTATTTATAGCAAGATGGTCCTTGGTTACAGGTGGTCGACATTCGTGTGCGAATTGCTTTGGTCTTACCTCTCAAAGATAAAGCGTGCCTCGCATCCTTGGGGTTTTACATGTAAAATTATGCATATACCAACATTGTTTATGTACTTGTTCGTTATATCGTTTTTTATCTAATGACATGTAAACGATCTTTTTAATACCTCCTCGGAGAAAGGACACACATCATAACGACAAGTTTTGCAACCGTTCCACCAAGACCAAGTCCAAAACAATTCCATAGTTAAAAAACAAAGAGTACCTTAATAGAAAACAATAGTAGTCCTTGTTAACCCTTGCACTAAAGGTCCTAGTCAAACTGGACTAAAGAACGCTCTCGTGTCCTGGTAATTCATCCAGACGTCGACTGTTTCAGCTTGCGTTAGGATCTCCGATTGTCACGAGCCCGATCGAACCAAGCGAGGATACATTGCTGGATATACTCTCACGTGGAGGATTCCAGGCAGCCCAAAGCTTCTCGGAGAACAATTTTCTCAATATAACTGACACTACGTCGACATGGCAGAATTCTCTCATAAGTGGCAGCAACGCAGCGGCTTCGAGATCTGAGAGTAGCGGCTCCAGCTGTGCTCGCTCACCTTGTCCAGCCACCTGTGCAGAGTCTCTGCAAATACCACGAATGAACCTCCTGTGCAGTCCAATTGGGCCCCATCAGGTAACGATCAGCTCTTCGTCGCATCGTTATTCGACACACCTTCGCGGATAATTCAACCGCTTAAAGTAAAGCAAGCGAAGGGATCGACTTGGAAAGCCTTCAGCCAATTACTTTAATAGAGAGAGTCTCTCGACTTGGTAAATCAAAGAGTAACAGCATTGAGTACCTCTTTTTCTAAAAAAGTCGATTCTTCACTTCCCAGAATTCATTTTGCAATGTCGTTGGCATTCTTTATTCTTCTTTCTTGATCCACGTGCCCTGTAATCTCTGCTATACATGATTCACAACTTCTTTTCTTTGTATCCGCTGTGATCTCTTCTACGCCATGTACTAGAAGGTCCACCCATGTTCAATCGCTGTATCCGAATCCACAGGTCGCCGCCACGACGTACAGGCCATCGCAAATTTTGTCCTCCTCTTCGAACTCCTCGTCGTCTTTGTCTTCCTTCTCTTCCTCATCGAATCAATCGTATGGTGACACCCCGAGTCCCACCGACTGCCGAGGCCTGTCCTGTTCGCGGATCGAAGAGCGGCTGGGCGAAGATCTCGAGAACTTGTCCTTTTGGAACGAAGCTTGCGAGTCCTTTAGAAATAACGGGTTAAACGATTGTGAAATCGCCGCGCAAAACAGCATCGGGAACGGTGGCTCGACGGAGATCGTCGATACCATCGACAACAGTGAATTACAGCTGATCGAAGAAGTCCTGAGAGGCTTGGGGGATGACAGACACGATAAGGAAGAAACCCGACGAAGCGAATCTTCTTCGGAATCGGACAACGCCGCGTGTCTGCTTTCGTTTGAGAATGCACCCGCGTGTCAAGAATCGTGTCTACGGGAAAATTCAACTGACGAGCAATACTTGTCGAATTGCAATGGAAACGCTGTCGAGTCGTCGCCCGTTTCGTACACCACCCAAAAGAACATTCCTTATATCCAAGTGGTCCCAGACTACCCCAAGAACGGACAACCGGAAATATCTAGAACGGACAGTGGACGCGATATCGACTTTGCCGCGTTGTTGCAATCTTCTTGTCATTCTTCGTCAACCGCGGACGCTACTGTCATTCCAAATGTCAGTGCGCAATTGTCTCTCTTCGAACGGCAACGGAAAAAAAGCTTCGAACAGTTTAGGTCAACCAAGTGGACGGACACAAGCGACGACTTCCAAATACCGAAAGTGGTCGCCTGTTTCGAGTCTTCGAGGCCTCAGCGACGACGGTGAGTCTTGTTTTATTTATACTTGAAGATGAAGGTGATGTAGTATGTTCAATCCAACAAAAAATCCACACAATCCCATTGATGAGTCATAAGAATGCACTTTAAGAGAGGAAGCTATAAATGATTTCACAGGTTGAGAGGTTCCGTGCATTCACGTGCACTCAAGCGACGTGACAATTGGTTTACTTGGCACTTGATCTTTAACCCCTTCATGCTCACCATATCACTTCCGATTACCGAGAACTTCAAACAATCGTTATTGTAACTTCGATATTAAGCATGTCTCTTCATTTTACGAATTATTTTTTTAACCCTAACACACTTTACTTTAACAACCAGGCGTAAGTTCAATCATATTTGCACTCTGACCTTCGTTAACCAATTTTCGTGTGCGACAAATTGATTATTCATTGACATCAGAAAGTGCCATGTCATAGGATTTTACCATACCGAATATTAATTGTGTTTTTGCGACATTGTGGTTTTCTATCAATCATATTTTTGGGTCAAGGCAATCAATTCTCAGGATTCTTATGCCAGACAGCGGTTCACTTCGATAATCCCTTCACTTTTAGGACGTCACACTTCTCTCTTATAACTTCCGCGCCTTCACTATATGGCATGCTATACACAGATACACTATACGGCACAAACAGACATGTTCCTTGAAGCGAAGACAACTCCCATAGAAAATATCACTGACGAAAATTAACAATGAATATGTTTTTACTGCAAACGCCACAGGATATATTTCGATTAAATAAATAATCGCGTTTGCAGGAACTCCGATCGCAACATAATGCCCTGGCCATCGCTCAACTTGCCATCTGTAAAGGCTAGCGAAAGGTTGAAGGAGGGTTTGAACCCTAAGGAGGTGGAGAGGGCTATGAGCTGTCTGCTGAAACGGTCGGTGGAGGAACTTGCCAAGCAGGACGAAGACGGAGACACGTAAGAACGTTTGTGGTCGCGAACGATCCATAGTACACTCCTCTTCTTATTCCACGTTTTCATTTCTCATCGTTCTTCAACAGAATGCTGATGTGTTTGGTGGGCAATCCTGACGAACTGGTGGACAAGAAGGCTTACTTGGCGCCACTCGTAGAACGATTGAGTATAGCCAATGGAGCTCTGACTGCTACGAACAATCGAGGCGAGGACGCCCTTTACTTGGCCGCCTTGAACTGCCCAGAGTATTCTTACGTCACTGGATATCTAGCTGCGACGATGTTGCAAAAAGGAATCGACGTCAATCAACGACTGTATCACACCCGGGTAAGCTTATCCACTCCTTTATAAAGCTGCATCTCTTGTCTACTTGGTCGATTCGTAAAATAACTTCCTCCATCCTGTTTGTTCGCAGGGTGACACACTGATACACTCGGTTGCAGCACAAGGGGACTCTCACGGTGAAGTCCTCGCAGAGTTGCTGGCTTTAAAAACAGTCCAAGGAAATGCTGTCTTCGATTTGTCGAAACGCAACTACGATGGTTAGTCTCTCTAGAATACCATGACTACCTATAATAATAATAAAAAGGATGATGAATTGGTTTAAATTTCCTGCTTCATTTCCGTAGGAAGGACCGCTCTTCACGTGGCAGTCCAAACCCACGACCCTACCAGGGGAATCGTGTCCGTGGCTACCGTGAGGCTGTTGTTGAAGTACGGTGCCGATCCCAGAATCAAGGAGACGAAATGCGGCGACACTGCGCTGCATATGGCCGTGTCCTTAAGCTGCGACCCTGCGCTAGTGAAGGTAAACCTTTCAAAGACGTCACTCGTATCACCTCCATCCAATTCCATCCTGATTCGTTGATTCGCTTTGTCTCTTCAACAGATGTTACTGGCCGCGCACGGTTCCGACCTGGCGAACGCGACCAACTATAACCTGAACACGGCGCTGCACATGACTGCATCTGTTTCGAACAACGTGACTCTGGAGAGACAGAAGGAGGTCTTCTGGCTCTTGACTCAAGCTGGAGGTTACACGAATCAGCCGAATCGCCAGGGGAAGACACCATTGGCCCTCGTCCCGGCGGAAAGGAAAAGCGCGATACGGAAGATCTTTTACAAAAGGTCGTGATGACGGTCGGGGTCGACGCCTCGGTACACTTGCTCAAAGATGAACGCAAACGCTTACGAAGCTATTCATAAAACGTCGTCGTACCTTCTCTACGTACAATAAGCGGTCAGCCTAAAATGGCACGCGTTTGTTCTTTACACTCCGACGTTCGTTCTTTCTTCAATTACCTTCTCTTTATCGCGGAACGATTTTACATCTCGTGGAATATACACGGACCTAAAAACGGAGACAGAAAGCTAAACGTTGACGCGAGTTAACTTGTGTGGGTTTATACTTGGTAGAGCAAACATGGCGAACTCGCAGAAATTGCAGGGTGCCAAGTCCTTTTATAACTTAGAGCTGTAGATATTTGTAGATTGATTTAGACAGATCGTCATGCTTGTTTCACCAACTACACGTTGAATCAGCCATACCTCTTATGCGTGTACAAAACACAACACACGTGGTACAAAATGTCTTTATTTTCAATAATCGAGACTCGATCGCTTACTCGGTGATTATCCGCCGCGACTAAGTACCTGTTCGCCATACTAAACTTAGATTATAATTCAGTACAGTATATCAGTATAATTGAGTACTCTGAAGCAAAACTAACGACGAAGATAGTCGTATTTATTGCTCTACGAATGGAAAACGAGTCAATCAAAAGGAGATTGTTGTAAAGAATGACTCGTCGATGGCTGAGGTTTATCATAGCGGTGCAGCAATTCCGGTGTGTTTGCGCCGTGCTTTTCCGGCGTGGAATTATCCAGACCTGTTACAGTTGAACGCGCAATCGGACGCTACTACAGTCGCCAACAATACGTGTGTGTGTGTGCCCGACGGGACGATACTAACCGCCACCAACACAACACTAACGCACGATGGTAACGGAGCCGAACCGATTCACGTCCATCTACCACCTCGACGAGATTAGTGGATGGAACGCGTTGCGATCGTGTGACGCGCATGTCACTCAATATAAAAGCGGCACCATACAACTGTCCATCTTAATCTCGTAGATCGCGACCGATTTTTATTCGGTGTCAGTCCTCCGCAACGACGGCGCAACGTTTTCTTTCGCTATGATGCACGCGAGCTCGACGTGTCGATTTTCGTTGCTACCCCTCCGTGACGGGCGTTGAATTCGATGAATCGAAGGTAGATTTTCGACGAATTGAGGCTTCGTGGACGAGAGAACAACCGGACGCTGCCAGATCGAACCGCTCGAAAGGGTTTTGCATAAGTTCAAGAAGAGAACGGAAAAGAGCAGCAAATGAAGACGATGCTGGAATTGGCCAGCTGCTTGGCGTTTCTCGCGGCGGCGAACAGCATCAGCGAACAGTGCACGCTTCACGAGAACACAAGGATCACGTGCCGCTGCATCGGAAACGAGGTACGTCGCGATCAGATCTTATTTGGGGGAGATTCTGCCAGGCTTCGCGTTTGCCAAAGATATTAATTACTAAAAACAATCTCTTTTAACATACTGAAGACCTCTGGGTGTCCCCTCGTCACACTAACTCCCTCACTATTTTTTTTTTCAGGAATTTTTCCTTCCCGAGGGCTACAACTACGAAAACGTGACGAGCCTGCGAATCGCATCCTGCACTTTCGCGAACCTCCACTTCTCCAGTTTGACGGAGGCGAATCGAATCGCGGAGATAACCGTGCAGAATATCAGCGGAAGCTTGATCTTCGAGCTGTTCCTGACGTCGAAGACGATGAAACTGTTGAAGTTGACCAACATACGGCGGATACCATTGATCACACACGACACGTTCCTCAGTCTTTCTAGCATCGAGACAGTGCGGATCGAGGAGGTACGAATCGATCGTTTCGAGGAACGATTCATGGACATAACGATAAACGACTTCTCCATGATCAACGTCACGATCGAACACATCGACGGGTTGAACTTCTCCGAGAAAGGTGGAACGTTGCGGATCGAGAACAGCGTGTTCCAAAACGTTACGGCCTCGCTGAATTTCGCTTATTTCTCGAACGTGGAGATTTTGCGTTCAAAGTTCCATCTTCAGAAGCCTGGTCACTTGTTGATCGAAGGGGATCTAGTCTCCATCGAGGACTGTGTCTTCTCGAACGCCAGCGCTAACGTGGTCGCAGCTAACAGCATTACCATAAACGCTACGTGTGCAGATGGGAAAAGCTCGATGAGACTTTCGTCGAGCAGGATCAAGAGCGTGAACAATCGACTGCCTACCGAAATAGTTTACACGGGAAATAGACGCATCGGAGGACAGTTTCTCAATTATAATAACACGGTGTGTATCGCTGGCGATTGCAAATGTCCGAAGAGTAGCGGGCAGAGTACGCGTAGAGCGGCCATTTTCATTTTTTCATCTATTACTTTTCAATTTCTGCTACCGCTAACTCTTCTGACGTCGACGATTTCATAACTATCTCGGTAGAAGTACATCTAGCTCTCTCTCCCATCTCAAAGTGGGTGGCATAGACACAATGATTTTTCGTTTAATAATTTGTACAACTATCATGACGACAATCGTACGATAAATCGTTAAGTCTATGACCCCTGCGTTTTCATAACGGTCAGAATGTCTACTCGACACCTGCGTCCGCTTTTGATGAACAAAGCATCAATTCTTCCCTTTGTTCATTAATCTTTTGTAGCATGGCTCTGTTATTTTCTACCAATCGAAGTATAATTTCTTCGTAACTACTCGACTGTTCTTCGTCAAGATCTGGTCGTGCCATTCTTTCGCCTTTCGGTCGACGGTTACCCATCAACTTCTCCAGCTGATCTAGATATTTGTCCCGACTTCGCGTCATGCATCGCAATTGGTGTTCGTATTGATTCTGCTTCGATCGCAACAGTTTCCCCAATTTAATCGTCTGTAAAATATAAAAGTATAAAAACATAAAAGCAAAGAGAGGTTGTAAGAGACCAGTCTATCTTACCTCTTCCAATAGACTTTTATGCTGACGTTTTAACTTCTGGATTTCTTCCTTCGCACATCTCTCTCTCTCCAGAGTTTGACTCAAGGTTCGCTCCTGCCTTTCCAGAGCTTCTTTCGATGCCTTGACACGATTCTAAAGTAAAAAAGATTTACTTTGAAAATATACATGCAGTTTATATTATACAACAAAAACATAGTTGTTTAAGTCAACTATCTATTGCCATGATAATTACCCTTTACATATCTAAGTTGCTTGTAACAGAAGAGGACGTGATATTATACCATTAAAATTAAATGATAATAAAGACTCACCTTAAGATTGTAATTATCATTTGAGATCTTGGAACACACATCTTCGAGCTGATCGTATCTTTTCATCTGTGACCTGTGCTTGTGGATCAGCTTCCAGGATGCATCAACCAATTTCAGGGAGACATCAAGTAGTGTCTGAAGAGAAGGAGGCTCATTGCTGATATTGAGTGTTACTGGTTCAATACCTAAGGCATCCAATTCCTAAGTCAAACAAAAATGTAGTATGTTAAACATGGTTCAATTCTCCTAGATTCATGGCAAGTCTAATAGAATATCATACTTCGGACAGCATACACAAGGAGTCTTCCAAACTTCCTTTTATACGCGACGCCGATGTTTCTTCTTTCATATATTTCTCTGATATGCTCGGACTATTCATTGTTATTTTCTAACGGTAACGGTAATCGAGACGCGTTTCACAATAGGTGATTAGATGAATTAAAGTAGTCTGTCAAATCACACGAAATTACATTTAACAAAATGAATATTATTGCTCGTCGTAAGTGCTATGAAATCGGCAATTTCAACCATGCGCGATCATTGCAGACACGATTAGGAACAGTCGACGAAATTAAAATTATTGGAAAGAATCACATGGAATATAATTAAGCGATAGAAGTCAAAGAGAAACCCTGCCAAGTGCAAAAAGCACACCAAATCGAAAGAAAGCATCTATGTAAAGGTGTTAATGAATATTAATTCGTTACGTTTAAATATCTGACGATTACCCGCCCAATCATCGGCGTCATGTTCCTTTGGTGAATGGAATACAAGATGGTAGTACGAGTTCGTGCAAATTTTAGGGACTAGGTTAGTGAAGCCCATGTTTACGTGTGATAAAGTCACTACATTTAGTTTTGCGTATACAGCCCTTGCCTTATGGTACAGTCGTTGTAGTATTACAATTTGAAAACATTAGATCTCCTGTACTTGCAATGTTTAAAGTAGGACCTGTTATGTAGCCTTACCGATAACGTGATAATTTATCTAAAAAACAGAAAACGTGAAACGATATGTTTCCTCTTTCTTCCTTCTTCCAATCTTACCTATCCTTCGTCAACTTATCTCTATTGATTTAGTATTACAGTATTTGTTAACATAATTATATTACAATATATGCAGGCTGTTATTCACTTCGACCATACATACATATATGTATAGGTTATTCCTCTGCCTTTTGGCTAGTTATACTGTAATCACGATAGATTGTCAATTTCGCTTAGGATACAATGACGCGACGCGCTTGTGGTTTTGTTGTATTTCGTCGAATGGAGGGTATTATTGAATATCTTTTAATGCAAGTATCATATGGTCAACATCATTGGACACCACCCAAAGGTCTACAACTTGATTCATTTATCTATGTCGAGCGATTCCTGAAAAACATAACCCCTTGCTCGAAGCCGACAACTAAAATGTCTATAATTCGTGTCTAACGAAACACGTCCTACTCGAAACGGAATGGAATTGTTTTGTTTACAGTCATATATTACACTAATGTCCTACATAATCTACTTTTTATTTATAGGTCATGTAGATCCTGGTGAATCAGACATGGAAACCGCTCTACGTGAAACAGAAGAAGAAGCGGGTTTGGTAGCCAACGATCTGAAAATTTTCAAAAACGTGAAAGAAGAAATAAATTATAACGTGAATGGACAACCAAAAATTGTTATTTATTGGCTAGCAGAACTAATAAATCGTAACAAGTCTGTCCGAATGTCGGACGAACATCAAGCATTTAAGTGGCTTCCATTAGAAGAAGCTTGTTCTACAGCTAAATACGAAGAGTTACAGAACGTGTTAAAAAATTTCAACGATTATATACTTAAAAATCTTTCTTAGCATTTTAGTTTTTTGTAACACATATTATTTATATGTCAGCATGTGATGTATAATTATTTACTACAAAGCTGAGAAAGAAAAGGAGCATGTGTGATTATACCAAATATATTATTTTTAAATATATTTTTCTAAAAACATTATTACATATGCATTGTATCACCATCCAGTGGTGAGCGTTTCTAGAATTTCGTTCTAAATTTTGAAGTGAAAATAGTTTCACTGTTGCCGCCAGATGGCGAATGGCGTTTAGTATCAGTGGCGCCATCGGTGGGAAAACGTCCAAGTTTTTAGTGAAAATAGTTCTCCCAGTGGCTGTTAGATGGCGACTGATTTAATTAGTGGCGCCATCGGTGGGAAAATGTCCAAGTTTGTAGTAAAAACAGTTCTCATCAATAATTATGGACCCCTTAATTAGCGAGGTTCAGTGGGGATATGTTAATAAAATTATATTTATGAAAGAGAATTACTCAATATATTATATACATATCACATTATAGTTCAGTTTTTTTACAGGTAATAAATAAAATGCTCTTATTTTTACACATTAACATTCACATTTAAACTAAGGAGTTTGCTTCTTCTATAAACAATATAGATCATGTTACCATTGGAAACAGTTAAATATATAATGATCCATCTGCTGGGCCTAAATATCTCATAGAAATAAGTATTACATCAATCAGTGTCCATACACCAAGTCCTCCAAAACTGAATAGTTTACCAATTCCCTCTTGCCAATGGCCCAGATAAAATCTGCAATTCGTATTAATGAAAATATACATTCCTACTCTGTAATTAAAGACTTGTTATAAACAATGTACCGATCGGCTCCAAAACCCCCTAAGGTAACACTTAATATTAAGGCAGTAGACCAGCGATACCCTACAGTCCAATTGCACAGTAAGTTTTTCATGAACTTTCGTCTCCCTAGACATAGTATGTCATTGTTCACTGTACAGTTAGTTCTATAATATTGGCGAGGGGATGCCACTGAACTACAAGAATTTTTTTGATGGCAGTCATGTTCCCAATGTTCTGTTTGATAACAATAACGGCATATGTATTTTTTTTGAAAGGTTTGCTCACCCTTAAATTTCAATGTATTAATTATTGTGTGATATATAATGGATAAGGTGACATTATGTATTGTTATATTACTTACAACACAGTCAACATGTTCCAAAATAGAACAATTGGCAATATACACCATTCCATATATACAACTCGTATTTAAATTACATTTCAAACATTCTCCACTTAACTCTGAACAGGCAGTACCACTTGGACATAATCTCATTGTTTCTTCCTGTAATTATTGAAATTATTTGACTATTATACTTGTTACTGAAAGGATGTTGTAATGGATATATCACCTTTTTGCTACTATGGGCAGGTGTAGAATTTGCATTAGCCTCTTTTAATGCATAGTTAATCATACTATCTGGAAGAAGAATATTGTAGAATGAATACTTCGAGAATAAACAATTGATCATAGTATCCAAGTTAATTGTAACTTACCATAACCCATGGAGCCTTGTTTTACAGTAGTTAACAAAATTGCCAGGAGAATAAAAATTACGTTTCTCGAACTAAGTCGCACAATATTCATTATGGAAAGTATCTAATTGATCGAATTGATGCAAACCATACAGGAATTTTTGATAATCTTTCCTTATTTACGTATGGAAAAGCATAGTTTTATAAGTCCAACCTTCGGGTCCAACTATACCTAGTTTACGATACGAAGCTAACAGAGGTTAAATTCATCTAAATCAAAACGAAACAACGTAATACTAAGGATTAATGATAAAAACATTAATGATCTTGAACTTTTCAAATTCGTCACTATCTCATTTAGGATTAAACGCCACAACTTTATAACAACATGGCAAAGGATCATTCAAATTGTTTAATTCAGCTGACAACTAATTGTATACAGAACGAAAACAGTGGAAAACAGTGATTCGACTGACTATTTCACAAACCGATATTGTATGATCTGGTTTACACTATAGAAACTTTTGATACGGATATTAAACCTTGTTTACATCGATCGTATTAAATTACATTAATTTGGTCTAATCTCGCTGCTTTCGAATATCGTATCATTCTAATACGCCAACATTTACAGCGTCGACACCAAAACAATTTGATACAAATATAGTTGATACGCGTATCAATATCAACTGTTTGGTGTAAATTAGGCCTATGTTTCTTCGACTTTCTTCGCTCGAGTGTGATATCAGCGATGGGCTAGTTTCGAATAAATCTGAAGTTTGTCTTGTTTCCTTCTTTGGAAAATGTTCAAAAGAGGAAACGAGACAAACATATCGTCAAACTTCAAATTTATTCGAAGCCTAGGGTTTTGCTCACCTCTGGTTGATATTATTGCGTACCGCTACTTTCGATAGAGATAAATTGATCCCCAGGTCATTCCTAGATGGCAGAGCGGAGACCCGTTTGCCCGTTGTTATGGAATGTGAATGAGCCTTTACGTTTGGCAGTTCTGTTTGAAGTTTAGCGCCAATTACGATTTTTTTGTATTTACGATAATTTATCGTTATTTATCTCTGGATGAAAATGATATCATCAAAGGTAATAAGCAGTAGTAAATGCTGGTAGATAGTATATAAGCACTTGTTAGAAGCTAAAGTGTGACCAAATACAGATATACAGTATAAGTACAAAAGCTTTTTATAATGTACAAAATATTAAAAATCGGCCGTTTAAACGGACCAGCTGAACACTTCACCAAACCACAGATTGTTGGTCATTATAGTATTAACGATGCAAGAGAATATTGTAATGATTTATCACAACTAAAGTATTACAAAAAACCGTTGAATCCTGATAATGTTAATTTTAATCTTGATGATAATGAAGATACGATAGTTACACCAGAAGACGAAAATACTAAGTTAGATGATTTATTACGACGGATGTCGGAAAATTTTGATCAACTTAAAAGACAAAATTTCGACAATGAAAATGATCGGTGGTGAGTTATAAACATCTTTAGAGAGTATCATTAAACAATTTAATCGAAATTTTAAGTCATTCAAAAAGTAATTTAAGTTTATATAAAACAACTGTTGATAAATTTCTATGCTATATTTTTTCATGTTAAGTACACAACTTTTGCAATACGTTTTACATATTAGGTTGGAACCAGAAATTGTTTGTTGTCGCGGTTTGTTAAAAGCTGTGATGGCTACACCATACAAGAAAAGAGATGAAATTTAAAGGGACAATATATTTATGCGCCTTTGATACCATTGAAAAAAAGCAGTATAAGTTAAGACTATCTGGTTTTCAGAAAAAATGTACATTATGGGGACGCAAATTTGAACACTATATGTTATCAGGTTATAAATTAGAACAAAATTATTATAAGATACAATTTCAATGTTTTTTGTTTTTATCAAACTAAAAGGTAATCAAGTTGGTTCTTTTCATTAGGTACACCTTCCACAAATCCAGATTTATCTGTTCCTTTTAATCAAAATGAAATATTTTGTTGTGTATTCAAGTCCAAGCTTAGGGAAACAGTTTTACTTTATGCAGGTGAAATAGATGGTATTCGTTCCCAACAGCAAATACAAGACACATTAGTAGGAAAAGATGTTGAATTAATAGAATTAAAAACTGTAAGTTTTAAAGCTTTTAACAGCTATGGTTGCATCAAAGCACATAAGACTCTAGGATGGTGGTGTCAGAGCTACTTAGCGGACATACAAAACATTGTATGTGGTCTTAGAAATGATAATGGTATTGTTACCAAGATAAAGGAATATAAGCTCAAGCAATTAGTATCTGAAGGAAAAGTAATTTATATTTGAAGTACAATTTATATAATTTAAATATAGACTCCAGAAGTTATCTTCATTTCTTTTTTTCACAGTTTTCATGGAATGATGGAGTATGCAGAAATTTTTGTGATAAGTTTCTACAGCAAGTAAAAACGATTGTTACTAAGGACTGCAAAGAATGTCTCTATAAATTTACATATGAACCAGGAAGTGACAGCATTATAGTTGACGAAATAAAACCTAATCCTAACTTGGAATACACATTTTTATATTCATGGTATATTGCTAAAGCGAAACAACATTTCGAAAAACGTTAAGATACTTTTCCATTATTTATATTCAATGTAACTATAAACATAAAAACTGTAAATGTATGAATAATTTTAATGTATATGTTAGAAGCAAAATCACGAGAATTCAGGAAATAAACATAAAGATACGTATGTATCCAAAATACTTATTCCTGAAAGGTACTCTCCGCTCTTTCGAATTTAACAGAGGCAAGAAGAATTATTTTAAAACTCAAAATAATGAAAGTATACTTATATTGTCAGTTTTAAATTGACAAATTATTTGAAAGCTTATACAATACCAGTTTTAGTCCTTGATGTTTTCAAAAGTACGCACAACGGATGACAGAAAGTCTTGTTGCACTAAATTTAAATGTTAAAGATGAAGTAAGAAATGAAAAAAGAGGTCTACTACTTCTAATGCATAATTTATTTATATATTTTAGATAAATTTATGTATTTTTTTCCACAACGGCGCGGAAGATATTTCATCACTTATAACCATATAGTTTCCAATACAATGTGACCATACGTAGCCTTTGAATAATAATAATCATTCAATTTACGGCATGAGCGGCAGCCATACTACAATTCCGACCGGCGACTCCGAGGAACCCTGTCGAGTAATTCCGAGAGTTAACGAATCGACGAACGGGCTTCGCTCAGTGTTGTAAGATGCGAAGATTCCGACTGCAACGCCACCTGCGGTGGAGTAAGGAATCTTAGCTTATGATATCTCCGCTCTATAGAATAATATTCTTTGGTAGTTTCGTGCTATGCAAGTGTGAAGACTTTGAGATTTTCTACTTGAGCGCTCCGCTTGTACATTGTTGGTACTAAATTACGCGTGCTTTTTGCGGGATACCGTAACCACGGTGTAAGAAAGAACTGTCATTCATAGTGCTGTGTGCAGTGCGTGTGGTCGGTTGTGTGGTCATCGGTATAAAGTAAAAAACTAAACCTTCACTTCATAAGCCCTATCGCTTCATCCTATCATACTGTTTATTCACTTTTGCATCATATATTGTATATACCTATCCATATACAGGGTGTCCCAGCCTTAGTGATACAGCGTTCCAACTCCAAAACTATCGGCTGAATGCAAAATTTCAAATATGGAAATTGCGTGGTAAAGTGGAGCTCATATTTCAGCGAGAAGGGATTTTTGTTATGTTTGTATACAGGGTGTCCCAAAAATGTTGGAGGTCCTTGAAAGGGGTGGTTCGGGAGGTGATTTAAAACAACTTTTTCCTTTGCAAAAATGTCGGATGGGGCTTCGTTAAGTAGATGTTAATAAAGAAACCCTACCAATCAGAGCGCGCGTATACCGTTGGAGCGGCCGCGGTAGCGAAGGCTACGCACTGAGCGGCCGCGTCAATATCCTTCGATGCACGTCGAGTCACTTGTTCGCGTACGAGAGCGGCTACCTATTGGGTAGCCATCGCTATCGCGGCCGCTCCAACGGTATACGCGCGCTCTGATTGGTCGGGGTTTTTTGTTAATATCTGCTTAACGAAGCCCCATCCGACATTTTCGCAAAGGAAAAAGTTGTTTCAAATCACCTCCCAAACCACCCTTTTCAAGGAACTACAACATTTTTGGGACACCCTGTATAATACATCGAAAAAATTATTGTCAAACTGATTATCTCATAACTGAACATAATTTATACAAATGACATTACAAAATAATTTAAGAGTATAGATACCTGTACATATAATAGACAAAATATACAATAATAAATAAACTAACACGACTAGATATAATGAAATTTAATAACTTTTAACACACCTTTATATGTACATATTTATTGATTCTTTTGTCTTCTATAGATGTTTAATCAATATAGAAAGGAAGCAAAAAACAACACAGATGTGAATTAATTATTAATTATGTCAATTATTTTATACGAAAATTATAAGAAAATAAATTTTATTCAATTTTAATAAATTGTTCTCTGTAACAGTTGTAATTGTCAAGTTGTAGTTGTCAAGTAAGTATCGGTGCCCATAACGTAAGACGTAAGTTAAAGCGTCTATCGAAAATGTGAACGGTTTATTGCAATTCGGATATTCCTACGTATATCGCGAACGAAAATCCTTTATGAGCGAAAACAGGGAAAAAATTCATTTAACTTTTTTACGTAGTATTTAATTCCCTGTGAGATTCATTTAGTGAATCTTTTCATTTTTACGAATAACGAATATTTATACTAAATAATACGAAAAATGATAGAACTATAAGAGGTAACTATTATTATTCATGAACCGATTAGGTTAAAAAATTAACCAGATTTTGAGACGAAAATATGAAATCTAAATATGCAATTTCATTAAAATCTATTTAGCCATTTAAACGCAATTGTGGTAACAAACATTCGAGATTTCGAAAAAATCTATTTTTTTAATAGTCTCAGTATGATCAGGAGGTCCTAAAACGTGAATTCCTGAAAAAAAATTTCGAAAAAATTTTTTTTCGTTAGAAGAATATTAGTCGGAAAGTAAAAATGTCTGGTGAGTCAAAATCGCATTACGATGGCTCGTATCGCTTGCCAGCGACTAGGGCAGACTAGGGTTGCCATTTGCCGTATACCGTCCTAGGCCTGTAACAATGAAGGAGTCCGTGATAGGTACAGCATGAGTAAGACGAAAGATCCCCCAACGGCAACCTTGCCGGCGCCGACTGGAATCTCAACGTTTCAAGAGCGAGGGAAAAAGGCTCATATTCACCGTCCCTCTCAACTTTCGAAATAGTCCGAAGTCATCCGAAGCGCTGGGTTCACATACGCGCGGATCGTGGAGTTGTGTATATGCATGGTGGGGGAAATTCTCGATACTCCGGCCATTAACTTTAGCATCACTGAATAGAGTACGGACCGAATGATAACTATCAAAACTTCCTCATTGTACCGCAAACGGCGCTGCAGTCGGAAATCTTCGCATCTTACAACACTGGCTTCGCTCCTATTGACTAGGTGTTGACGAAATAATTTTTTGAATTCGTTGAAGAAGGATAAGAACAAGACTCGACCGTTTTTGGCAGATTCATGATATGATATTACGATATCTCAGTTGTACGTGGACCGGTTTTATTGATTTTGGTTTTATTCGAAAGCTTATATGCGGTTTACATAAGAAAAAAAAAATATATACATGTCGAATTGAGTAACCTCCTCCTTTTCGAAATCAGTTAAAAAATACCTTTAAATTTAGAAAATATTGTAGGCGTGACAAGATATTAATGAAAAAAGTTTCAGAATAGTTTACAAGCAAAAGATACGCGATAGCGCCAACGCCAGTATACGCAGTAGCGTATGATTTTTCATGTACTTGGCGTCGAGACGCTACCGCGTTTGTAAATATAATTTTATAAAACTAATTCAATAATATTAATACATTGTTTTATCATTTATATTATCAGGTGTAATCAACCGTTTTTATTGACCAAGGTCTTGTTCTATACAAGAGATCTAACAAACATAGATGCATTCCATTCTTGCCTCGTGTCGGTATTTTGAGCGGGGCCTTCTCCTGATAGCGGTTTATATACTTAACAAATCATTACTATCATACTAATCTATCGCATACTATTGCCACACTATTGCAATGCTCTCGTGCTACCTAACGAACCTAAACTGATCTGAACTCACCTAAACCTAAGTGAACCTAAGTGACCTAAGTACTTGACCTATCATCTACGATCGCTGTACCTGTAAGTTGAAACACGGAATCAAATGAGCAATATCTCAGTTTTAAATGTAAAGATAATTATAAAGAAATCTTTCGTAATTATTGCATTATTTTTCTTGAAATATTGATGTAAAATCTATTAACATAAAATGAAGCATATATTTTATTTGTTACATTCATGTATGCTATTACTGTGTTGATAGAGGTACCTTTAAAAACTCTCACTTTTGTTTTGGAATGATTTTTACTTTCAGATCGACCTTAACAGTGCGTTTCTTGTTTGAAGTTGATGTAGCTTTTCCAACTCTTGTTACATCTTTATCAGTGACTTTCTCTGTCAACACAGAATAGCCCTAGGTGTATTTAAGAAAGTAATATAAATACCCATTAATTACAATTACATAGCATAAGTTCCTTATACCCAACATAGGCATATATAAACCGATATCTTACCATGTTTAGTTTTCATGTCCATTGTCATAGAAGCTAGTTCTTTTTCATTTTCTGATTTCGATAAAGCTTGCATGGAAAAATCCTCCGGGTACATACATTTACTTACATTAATCTAAAATAAACATTTGCATATACTATAATTTTATACTTCTACAATAATAATATTTCATTCTTGTATTTGCTTATCGTACCAGAGTTACCATTTTACTCTGCTGAAAATGTTTCAGATGCTTGACAACCTTACTGAAAACTGTTGCGAGTGTAAAGGTTTAATATCTTACCTCCTTCTCTAGGGAAGCTATTTGCGCCACAAGTCTTAAATTTTCTTTTCTAAGATGATCTAAGTCAGTTTCCGTTCTCCCCAATCGTTGTTTATATGAATTTATTTCAGTTTGTAATATATTTTGCTCTTGACAACTTTGTCTGTCGTTTCGTTCAGCAGCCAATTTCATAGCTACAACTTCTCGTTCAACGTCATCTTTTTCGGCTAATACTTTGTTCAGTTTACTTTGCAAGTTTGCTATGTACGACATAAATTATAAGGTAAAATGGCAAAAACCAATTTATTGTATTTGTTTCACTAGCTATTATTAAATTCGATAAAATAAGCAATTATTAAAATTATAAAACTTACATATGTTACTTTGAAGTTCTTTTTTTAAATTATCGATAAATGTTTGTTTCTGAGATAATTCATTTCTAAGTTCTGCTAATTCTTTACGCTGTCTTTCCGATTCTAATTGACATTTGTTAGCCGCATTCCAATGGGAAGATATATCGACGGACAGTTGTTCAATTTGTTGCGCGTATCTATGTTCTACTCTTTGCCTCTCTTCAGCAATACGTCTGCTCGCTTCCAGAGTAGCTTCTCTAAGTTTATTACATTGTCTATCCAATTCTTCTTTCAATGTTTTAATTTCCGATTTACATTGATTGTTTTCAAATTCAATTTGCTGCATAGCATCTATGGTTTGTTTTACTTTTTGTAATGCTTCGGTTTCTTTATTTCGTATGAAAGTTAAAGATTTTTGTAAATCTTCCATTTTCATCTCAGCTTCATATTTACCATGCAAAGCTTGTTCTAACTGAGGTTTTAGACGTGCCGCATCAGTATTCAAACAATTTTCGGATAATTGCTCCAAATTAGACTGTATTTCCTCTTGAGCTCTACGGAGTTCTAATTTTGCTTGAGTAAGTTGTGCTTCCAATTCGCTAATTCTTGATTCAAAAACTATACTAGGAACTTGCAAAGTTTTGAGTTTTACCATTTCAGGGGTTTCTTTTTGAACAGAATTTTGTTTATCGTTCCTATTGTCATGTTCGTCGATGTGTATATACTCGTCAAGAGTACATTTTAAAAATTCTGTTTTGTTTTTATAATGTAAAGTTTCATTTTCAGTTACAACCTAGAATTAGTGAATTCAAATTTTTAAGAATTTTTACGACTAAAATGCTAAATAATACAATTATTTAAAGTAGCTCTTATAATTAGTACATAGTTATTCTACCTCTCTGACTTTAAGAATTAGATTAGTTAGTTGATTTCTGCAAAATTGAGATTCTTGTTGTAATTGTTGAATATATTCTTCTTGTTGCTTAATAAAAGAATTTACTTCTGGAGGAACAGATCGCAAATCTGCAGTTGAAGACGTTAAACTACTGTATGTTTTCATCTGATGCGCAGTTTGGCAAAATCCAAAGTGTGAGTTTATAACACTATTTATATCTTCTTGTGTACCTTTTGCTTTAGAATTGTCAATTATCACACTTTTATCATCTACGTCTTCTTTAGATTTATTAATTTTTGTATTGCTGTATCGATCTTTAGTTCCTTGTGGTTTTCTACATAAAATAGAAAAACACCTTATGTACAATGAAGTGTTAAATTAATAATAATTATATTCGGTACTAAATTACCTTGTCATTGGCTTTGAAATGTAAGATTCAGCCAGCAAATATTTTAACTTTGAAACAGCTTCCCTATATGCCATTTCTGTATAATCTACAGATTTCTTCTTATTAAATTCTAACTTTTGAATTCCATTTAACTTTCTATAAGATTAAGATTAAGATAGAATTAAAAATTAATAGAATATAAAATAAAAACGTAATATTTTTAAATAACATTGTAATTACTTGGTTTTCAAACTTAATCTCTTCATTTGTGCAAAATCTGCAGAAATTGTACTATTTGAAAAAATTCCTTTCGACTTGGAATAGTTTCTTAAGGGAAATCTTATGTTTGTTAAGTAAGTGCTTAGACTTTCTGTAGTGGTTGTTGGTGTACTAATAAAGTAATGTTGCCGTCCGTAGTTGCTTGTTCCAGACATTCTAACTTTGTTTTGCCGATACCGTTGAGTCGTTATTCGTTATATATTATACATATACATACATAACAACAGAAATCAACCAATGGACTAACTAAACCAAGTATATACTTGATCAAACACAAACGCACGTTAACCGCTCCACAAGGGTATCGTAGTAAAGCTCAAGAAAATCGAAGTTCAACTGAACATAGTCGGATTGTAGGTAGCGTATTGTGGATTGCGTGTAGGATGATCGTTTTATGCTTTATGGGAACGAGTACCGTACCATCGCACACGGATATTTCGTGACTTATTATCAACTATCTGTCAGTTGTGCACTAGATTAATATTGTAGTTTCATTTCTTTTCATTCAATATTTTAATCTAATTACATTGCATATTAATGTGGATGTACACAGAATAACGCTAATAATAGAATATTCAAAATAGAATACAATTTTTCTGATAACAAGATAAATATGTATATAGTTGATAAAGGTAGAACAACTTATAAATATACAAATAATTGGTAACGATATTGAATTATATATACATGGTTGAGATAAGGTATATACATATACATTTCAAATTTTGCGAATTTTTGCACCTAACAAATATGCATTAAAATTAATGCTATCGTATTGGAATTATTCTAGATTATGTAATGTGTTCTTGTCCTGGCGAGTTGTTAGTGTTAGGTTCATTTTCTGATGGTGCTATGGAAACGAATGTATCATCGTGTTGTACAATTTGTTCCGTTACTATATCGTATGCTAAAAGGAATTGTAACATTATCGTATTATAATTCATTCATATTTAATTATATTTAATTATATATGTATATATAATTCATACCTATGTTGCGAGGAAATGGTTTCATCCATAATATTGTTAATAATCCAAATAATGCGGAAGAACTACACGCGTATACTAAGATATCTCTATAGAAATGTGTATAACTAATCCAAGATTCTCTAAAGAAAATTGCAAAATATTTACATTATAAAGAAACTTAGTATCAGAATTATTGGTTCTTTAATATATAATCCTTACAAATATTGAATGCTCATAACGGCTAATCCATTACAAAGTTTATCCGTGAAACTCAATATACCATATACAAATGCACCGCTATCAGTGTTTTGGCCAATGAAATCTGCGGTAACTCCCAGACTGGTCACTAACATAATGGATCCTGCAGATCCTGTACCAAAAAGTGTTTAATTAAATTTTAAATATTATAAATTGAATATATACAAAATCACATAATATTACCTAATATTAAAGATACCAAATAAATTTGATAATTTATGTACATTATGCTTGTACCAAATTGTATCCAAATACAAGAGCATATGGCCAGTATGACACCACAACAAAATGAAAGTTTTCTGCCTAATTTTGTATTCAACTTTTCTATAATTAAAGATGTTACGAAACTACTCAAAAATATCACCAAAGGCACTACAGCCAAAGATGTAGCTGGCATATTCAATGATTTATGCAAATACAAAGGAATATAAATTTGTGATAAATTTACAAATGCACGTGTAGGCATATATACACAGGCTACTTGATATAGATGTACATCTTTTAATAATGATGATACCGTTCTTGCATTTCTATGCACTAATCCTATAAAAGATACAACAAAGTTGATATTACTAAATATATATTATATGTAAATAAATTAGTACAAAATTAATCTTACCATTAGAATTATTAACACTTCCCTCCTTAACAAAAATATGGAACAAAATGGATGTTATAGATCCTACTCCTAATCCAATGAATAAAATTTCTTGAAATTTCTTAACATCGTCAGGACCAATTTGAGAATTGGAATCTTTGTCATTTGTTATATGAAATACTGTCCATGTGATGCAGTAAACAAAAATATTTGAGAGAACGGTAAAACTATATCTAAACAAAATTACAGTGAGTATTGTAATTGCTTGTCTTTATGTTTTTCAAATTTATATGTTACACTATATCATGTAATCTCCACAACTGAATGCATAATATTCTTCTACTAAAATGAAGATACTAAAGAGTATTTCAAGTGAAGTCTTTTCTAAGTATATTTGAAAAAATACCTGATAGCGATAAGTTCTGTTCTTTCATGTTCAGTAGGCGTAAGTTCTGGGACCAATGATAAATGAGATATTTGCACTGCAGCCCAGCCAAATTGAAAAATTACAACAAATGCTGCATAATAAATTAATTGAGCCCATTTATGAGAATTTTCACATCCGATACAAGGTGAAAATATGAAAGGAAATGCGAATAATACGCAAAGAGTACCTAAAGTATATCATTTTAAAAACATATTTACGCATTTATTATATAAGACTAGTAACATTTCATATAACACATATGTGTACCCATTAAATGCCATGTTTTCCTTTTTCCATATTTACATAGCCACAACTCATCATTCTTATCAGAATGAAATCCAACAAATGGAGTGGCTACAGCATCAGCTACTTGACCGATAAGCAAGACTACCCCAGCCAGTGTTGCATTAAATCCCAATATCAAATGAAAATATACTAATAAATATGTGAACCACATAGAAGCGCAAATATCATTTAAAACATGTCCTATGCCATATGTTAGCCTTATAGAAATAGGAAGACGTTGTATTATTTCGGTATAATCATTGGTCAAATTTGCTCGTTCGTGTTCCATTGTAATAAAATTCAATAGAATAATCTATGATAATTCATATATAATGTTATTATACGTATATCAATAATATTATATATTTACGTATTTAAAAAGAGTGCGATAGTATACTAATTAACGTTATTTTTAAACAAAATTTTAAATTATACAAAATTGTTAGTACTATATACGTTTCTATTTATTTAATTAGTAAAATATTTGATAAAGTTGCAAAATATCATATTCAACGTAAGTTTGGGTTTGCCGCGATCATCTGTTCCTCTATACGTTATTAAAATCTTTCATTTTTGTATCAACTGTATAATACATATAAATAACTAATTTAAATTTAAAAATTGATATTGTTTGGGAGAAGTTTAATTTGTTGAATAAATACATAACCTATCAAACTGTCGCTGATGTCGGTAAGTATAGGTACAGCTTGGTACAGCCACAGGTAGTCACAATTCACAATCACAATACTGCTTTAGTTCACGTGATTTTTACGTTTTTCCAATACAATAACATTGCCAATGTACTCTAAGTATGTTGTTTTTTTTATTCATGTAATAATTCCAAGTTAAAATGTTTAATACATAGAGATAATTAAGGGTGATTCATGGATAATAATTGTTTGACAGTTTTGATATATGTAGATGGTATGCTTATGCACATGATTACTATTATCTCTGTAGATTAAGAAATCACATAATATGTATGTAAAAACTATAAAAAATCACTCATTTTTTATCTGGAAAGCTGAAATTAATAAAATATCTATTTATCTACTATTACCTTTATATTAAATTAATCTGATAAGTAATATTTGTAAATCTTTTAAAATGCTTTTTTCTTTTACTGTCTAATTAAACGAAACTTTTAAGCAATCTTGTTTTGCTGAGTATGGAATTCTACGACGAGCATACAAAGGTGTAAGGCTTTAAACTTTATAAATAAACATAAAATACATTAGATCATAGAAGAAAATAAATTCAATTAATATAATTTTACATTTTTATACACTTAACGATAATATGAAATAATAGTAATAATAGTAATTATCATATTTTATTGATTGTACGATGTCTAAAACTAAAAGTATGCAATTTGTATGCGTAAACAAAGAAAGCATAAAATGTATACTTTAAGATCGCTAAATTTGAAATAAGATATCTGTATCATCGTTATCATGTAATTTGTTATTAATATTTATAACATACTTTTAAACATGATCTAGAATATTTCTAAACATGACTTTTTTGTTTACAATACAGTATTATTTTATAACTTTATACATATTTCTTATACGTTGTACAACATGCTATTAATATTCTTCTAAACACTAAGAGATGATCTTGAATTTATGTAAAATTGATGTCCTGAAAATAGGAATGTAAGAACATAAATACAGGCTGCTATCCAACAATTATATGCATTTTGTGTATAGCCTCTGTCTGCTTCAGCATAGAACTCCTTAACATTGGTAAAAGATCCTCCTAATGGAAGATCTTCTACTAGAGCTACACTCTTAACATAGAAGAATATCCCCATCAGTAGCTGAAAATGAAATCCAATGTTTTATTTAATTTATTAGATGAAAGTTTCTAACATAGGCAAATAAAATACAAAAACATATTCCCTTAGTAAAATATCAATGTGTTCGTAAATCTTATATTTATTAAAGAAACAATTAAGAGATACCTTATTTTACTATAATACGATAAAATGATTTAGATTTGTTGAAAGATAACCTATATGTCTTCTAGTACAATAAAATAAATAGTAATGCAAATAGCGGAGATTTAAATAAAAAGAAGTTATTCAAACCCCTTATTTCTTTAGAATTTCTTTGTTTATTTCTTACAAATGTGTGGTTCAAATTTGAAACATGCATTAATATTGTGTTGTTGTCATGTTAAAAAATATGACTTACTAGTTGAAATATACCCCAGACAGATAATATTAAGCCACATAAGGCATATTTAGGTCCACATATCTTCATTTTGTTTCAAATGAAATTATTTTTTCTTACTTTTGTATAGAGTAACCTAACATGGAACGTATCACTACTGATATATTGCTACGCCCTCACAAGTCATATGATTTTCATTGAAGAATAACAGCAGTCAACTACGACCAACTGCGACCAACCAAGAAACTATCGATACCTCGAAAGAGCACGAAAGAGTGTATTGGGATTGGTGTATCCTTTTGCCTATATATCTTTGACTTACCTACAATTACTAAAATCTGTAATATAGCAAAGGTCTGTATGTATATTGTATATTAAGCATCAAACCGATAGGTCGGGATGTACCGAATGGACACAAAATTAATAGCAATTATACTAGTTAATAATTACATTTATAAAGTGAAAGAGTTAATAAACAAAAATATATTTATTGTAACACCTTGAAAGGGGTGGTTCAGGAGGTGATTTGAAACAACTTTTTCCTTAGCGAAAATGTTGTCCGAGGTTTCATTAAGGAGATATTAAACGAAAACCCCGACCAATCAGAGCGCGAGGATGCCGGTTGAGCGTAGGCTACGCGATAAGCGACTGCGCTCATACGCTACCGCGGGCGCTCCAACGGTATACGCGCGCTCCGATTGGTCGAGGTTTTTGTTAATATCTGCTTAACGAAGTCCCGGACAACATTTTCGCTAAGGAAAAAGTTGTTTCAAATCACCTCCCGAACCACCCCTTTCAAGGTGTTACAACATTTCTGGGACACTCTGTATATCGGTATATTCGTATACTAGGGACGTAGAGATGGGCAAAATTTCCTTCTTTGGAAAATTTTCAAAAGAGGAAACGAGACAAACATATCAGCAAATTTCAGATTTATTCGAAACCTAGGGTTTTTCCCATCACTGCGCCCCGGGCCGTTACCTGACCGCGACTCCTCCTAACGTCGGCCCTGGCAATAACTATTTTAGGACGAAAAAAGTATCCTTTTTTTTCAAATTCATTACAGCAAATCAGTTAGTACCAATTATTTAATTTGAATTCGGTAATTTAGCAAAGAAAATAAGTATTTTGAAAAAGGTATTACATTTACAGGGAAAGATTTATTTAGACAGTTGGTAGCACTTCTCGTGTCTTTTTTTGTAGTGGTGTATTCGGTAATGCAGACGTATACGAACAAACACAGAACCATTGACTGATTTGACAGGCGCCAGTATAGATTGAAAGTAGAGCAATCAAAAAGTCGTATATTCGGTGTAGTTTGACTCTGGCATTGTGGTTTATTGTGCACGTTTTAAGACCATAGAAAAGTGCTAGCGATGCAATGTATCAAGTTTTCATCAGGAGATACCGTTTGGCCGATGTGCCACACGGCAAGCCCTATTATGTTTACTGTATTGAAGTCCTGGAGTCAGAACGTGGTACTCGATACTTTATCGAGAAAAGATACAGCGAATTCAGCGCGTTACATCGCACGGTATGTTATTTCACAAATTTGGGACTGAAATATCAATATTTGTAGCGTGATAGTTAGTTTTCATTACTGTCATGATAATTTAGAATTCGCGTGCCTTGTACTACGCAATCAGAATCTAAACCTCTGCTATTTCTTTAACGTCGGCACTTTCACCAATACCAAGTTCCATTACCCTTCATTTTTCGAATAAAATATCTGCGACAATAATGTCTACCACGATATTGTAAACATAGTGACATTAAAAAATTGTAGATAGAAATAGACTTCGTCATGAGTTTCGTGTCACGAAGGAAGAGAGAGACAGGGAGGAAGACGATGTCTTCTGTCCTTTTCTATACTTCGTTGTACGAACAAAAATAGCAATATTTGCGTTTGATTTCTTATTCCATTCACTCTAATTCCATTTCTCCTATTTATTTAGTTCGCATGAATAAACGTGTGATCCAGACTGTTGTACACGTGTACTACGACTTATTAGATACACACGTGCGTTACGTAATATATACACATCTCTTGTATACATATATCACAATTTACGTCCGACGTAGTTGAAACAGAGATCGTTCTACACAAATTTGTTAAGTCAAGCGTTTAAATTCAGAAACTGGCAACAATATCTCATTTTTTTAGCATTACAAATTTTTTAAAAATTAAGGAAACTCATTTGTCACTCTGTTAACAATTAACAGTACTAAATAGAAAGTGAGAGGTACGAGAATAGTTGAAATGTAAATGAATACTTTTCTAAATTAACTTTATTTCCGAGGATAATCGTAAAAAAATGTCATACAAACAATACAACATAATGCAATACATATATATTTTGCTCATAATTATTTTTATTGTTATTGCATGAAGCGTATTGGTCATCGATTGCTACTAAAAAATGTGAAATAAAATAATTCTTGGAAAAAAAATATAACCGACTTCGAAAAGTATTAAAACTTAAAACTGCACTAAAAAGTATGAAATAATTTCTAGTTAGTTGATATAAATACTCACCAGTTCTAGATATAATTACTTAAAAATATGAAATAATTACTATTTCCTTTATATTAAATTTTGTTAAATAATCTTTTCGTAGTCCGCGCAAAATTAAAAATTACTTACATTCAAAATTACCAAACTTGGTTTAACTTTCTGTTCGAGTAACAAAACATACACCCTTAAATTATTGCTATCATTATACAATACTTTAGACACCATATACATTAACATTATTCAATATCGCCACCTCCACCATTACTATCCCAAACCTATACAGACAGTATTTTCATAGAGAGAAACAACTTTTTCCTTAGCGAAAATGTTGTCCGAGGCTTCGTTGAGGAGATATTAACGGAAAATGGCCAATGGCCTTCGATGCACGTTGAGTCACTTGTTCGCGTCCAAGCGCGGCCGCTTAGCTCGTAGCCTTCGCTACCGCGGCCGCTCCAACGGTATCCGCGCGCTCTGATTGGTCAGTGTTTTCCGTTAATATCTCCTCAACGAAGCCTCAGACAACATTTTCGCTAAGGAAAAACTTGTTTCAAATCACCTCCCGAACCACCCCTTTCAATGTGTTACATTTTTGGGACACCCTGTATACATTAGCAGTAACCAATATTTCCATCCCAGCCCCCGCAAAAAAGAATGCCCCAAACCTACTCAGACAGTATTTTCATGTAGGTATGTAGTGTATACATTAACTGTATGCAATATTGACCCTCCCACGCAACATTAAAACAAATACATCAAACCCTCTCAGACAGTATTTTCACGTAGACAGTATACATAGACAATGTAGACAATCTATACATTAACACCATTCCATATTGCCGCCCTCGCCAAAAACTCTATCAAGCAGGATTTAAAAATTGTTAATTTTGCTCCGACTACGAAAAGGTTATTTAACATAATGTTAATATACAGGAAATAGAAATTATTTCATACTTTTCTGCAATTATATCTAGAACTGGTGAGTATTCATATCAATTAACTAGAAATTATTTCATACTTTTTAGTGTAGTTTTAATATTTTTTTCGAAGACGGTTATATATTTTTTTCCAAAAATTATTTTATCATTTATTTATTTGACGTTTTTCGTTGTACTGGTAAGAAAGTTATAGCTTGTTACATTTACTTGGCCTTCCCTGTACATTAATTTATACTTGCCGGAAAGTGTAACATTCTTTCGATAGAGCGCGATTAGTCATATCGGGAATGAATTTCATCACAGCGTAATGATATACGATTTACGTATGTATCTGGTATTCTCTGACAATTGACTGGCAATGAAAGCATTTGCTCCATTGGTGAACCTTAGATGTAGTTAGTATTTCCGGGACATTCGAAGTGCTGTCAGATCGTTCGTAACTGATTTTCAGTGCAAATAACTAATTTACGTTATCAGTGTCAGTGGTGTATAGCACGTTTGTTTCGTTGTTAACACGTGGTTATGTTTCAAATTAACGTAAGTTATACTGGACGCACAGTCGCTGATAAAATTGTTAGAAGCATTTCAGTAAAAAAAGATACTTTTATTGTAATTGAAACGTAGCAATGTTAGATGAAATGCAATGTCATATCCAATTGACATATTAAAGTGGATAGCATTATACAGTATATATTAAATATATGTTGCTTAGATGCCTTTTGTTGTTTAGTATTATCAGTAAAAAATCATGTTTGTTTCTCTGTGCCTTCATTTTGATCAATTACTATATAATATATTGTTGTAATATTATATGTATTATATTATGATTACTAAAATAAGATTTTATGAATTTGTGGCATATGCAAATATGAATAATTTTGTTAAAGGTCTATAAAATATTTGCACTTATGCAAAGTGTAATATATTCTATTTAAGTTTTACATATTAATATACGTTTTTTTGTATTTTAATGTAAACCATAACCCAGATAGCACCGGACGTCCCATAGACGTCCATTTCATGTCCAGTTTACGCCCGAACGTCCAACGTCTTTTGTCGGACATCCGCTCTGAATGTTCTACGAACGTCCATGGGATGTAAATTTTGTACGTCCCAGGAATGTCCGCTCCGAACTTTCTAGATTTAGAAAAAAAATACTTTTTTTTTTAAACATAAAATAAATATTTATTCAATATGTAAAACAGAATATTTTTTTCCGAATATAAAATACACTATTTACAATATTATTATCCCAGATAGCACCGGATGTCCCACGGACGTACAGAGAACGTTCTGGGAATGTCCAGCACCCGACGTCCCATGGACGTATATAAGACGTTCCTGTGCTATCTGGGTATACATTATTTAATATTCGTAACAGAATATATGTTTGCATATGTAAAACAAAATGTTTATTCAATATTAGGAATACAATATTTTTTGTACATATGACATATGTACATAATATTCGGAACTATTCAGAACTACCTAGTTAATTAATTCTTCTAACTTCTCAAAAAAGAGTTCAAGTCATTTAGACCAATTTCAAAAGAAGGAATTGTGTTTTAAAAGGTGTCCGAATATTAATGCGAGTCACTGTACATATAAGCCTAAAATATGAATCGGTTGAGCAAAGGCGTTTATGGGTAAGTGAGAAAGCAGGTTGCGTTGTAGTCGGGGAAACTCGTGAGTTCGGAGACCGCAATAGATTTTTGTAATTTTTCTCGAGCATGCAATTCATCCTAATATACTTTTTTTTTTTATTAATGTTACTAAATGAGTGCAGTCGAATTACATTTACGTTAAATGTTTAATTACAGTTGAAGAAGGAAAACGCGGACACTGCTCCGTTTCCACCGAAGAGGGTAAGGAATTCCCAACCAAAAGTGCTCGAGCAAAGACGAGCAGCATTGGAACTGTACGTTCAGAAAATGTTACGCCTTTCAACCACGAAGCAACAGGTCCTCAATTTTCTGGGTATAGAAGGTCGAGCGGCCGTCGAGTCGTACAAAAGGTATACATAATTACATGTATGCTGAGGCAGTGGTTCCCATCTGTTTCGTCGACTTACGTATCCCTTGGCAGCTATTTTTACAAATTGTACTCTTTATATTAGCAAAATACTTATAATTGATACAGTTGTTAAGTAGTCTAATAATAGGATAATAGACTGTGGAGTAAGAAGACGAATGAACAGTATATACAGGGTGTCTCAAAAGTCGGGGAGGAGCCGAAAATGGGGGGT